TATAAGTAGAGTACTGAAATAACAACTCTGTAAGGAAAACAGTGAAGAAACTTGAAAAAAATAAACAAAATGGCCATTATGTCTTATAATCAGGCTTTTTTTTTAACAAAATGTGGTAAATATAAAAGTGCAACAACTTGAGGAGAAAACATTTCGTCATCCAGGTATGAAGGAGAACTTAATTGCAAAATGAACAATAAAACTACATTAGTAAGGGTTGCAAAGTGGAAAAGGCCACATTTGGGTTTACATTCCTTTGATGACCTAACTGCATGGAAGTTATATGGCTGCATTGACCAAAAGTCTAAACAAATATAAAAGTGAGTCAGTTTACACAAGATTTAAAATTATTTTTAAAATCTTGTGCACACAAGGTAGTTAGCTATTTTATGTGCGCAAGTGGTAAATCAATGTAAGATTATTATGGGACTGTAACTTCATTTTTCCAATTTTGAAGACAGAAAAATTAAACATTTTGTAAGGAAGGTAGTGGGAAAAGTGTCAGCTAAAACAAGTACAAGATTTCTGTTTAGTCATTCAACATCTCATGACTTTTAGCACAAGTGGTGTAAAAGGTCATGGGAATCATCATAGGAGTGCGAGTCCTGTAGCTGATCGCTAACATTATGATCTAAGGTGTTCAAATGTTTTTGATTTTCATCATTTTTGTCAGGACCGAAAGGCAAAGCATCCATAAAGTATTTTCATAAGTGAGTGGGGTGGGATTCTCAATATGCGTAACGTAAATGATCAGATTGATCGTTTCAATATGGGTTTAGGATTGTTACTGCTGCATCGGAAAAGACCCCAACTGAAACGAATTATCTGCTACTGAAATTGAGTGCTGATTCAATGCGATCAGTGAGGCACAAGCATGCCAGAGAGTCATTACCGCCTGAAGCTCATGTACCACGCATATAAAAATGGTTTGCTGTGATTACAAGTCCTCCTGGGCTGTTGGTCACTTTGCTGCTACTTCACATATTAATGGAGCAGAAGAGGCGAGCTGATAAGAGCTCCCTGCAATTTAAAAAAAAAAAAAAGTCCTCCTTCCGAAAAACATCCCTAAACATCCGGAGCTTTTCGTCAACATGTTTTCCACTTGCTGTAGGAGAGACCTCATGAGACTTTCCTCTGCCAAAGTCTAGTCGACACAGACTTTCTTAAAACCCCTCAAAAATCTTTAAAAGCTAATAATGCAAAGCGGAACACAGCCTGTAAATACTCCTGAGCAGCTAGAGCATCCCCAGTTGAAAGATGATTGAACTGATGCTTTACTGAGACTTTGTTGACAGTAGCGCCTTAAACACACATTACCATCCTTTTTATACCCTTACAAAATGTATTAATACAGTACCCTCAAAGGATGTGTTGAGGTCAGGTGCTTGCAAACAGAAAGATGCCTATTATTGCCTACTATAAAAAACATAAACGTAGTCTCAGATGTGTCTTCCATTAGTTTATGACGAGGCGTCTGAAGCCAAACGATGGTGGGCGCCATATTGGAAATGCTATCGGCACCTTACTTTCGATCGATCTAGAAGAAGACAAAGAGGTAGAGCTGAGGCAGGCCTTAAGCTGCCTGGCAAACAGCTATAAACTACCAAAAATGCACATTTATGCATCACTATAGCCTTAATATAGTCAAAACAGATGAGTATAACCCACCCCACTTTCAGTTTTGACCGTAAAGCAATGAGCTACTCAGACCAAAACTGTTTGTTGTACCTGGTGGTTAACATGTTTCTCTACTGTAAAAATGGGCATTTCAATATAATTCCTCACCTTTTGCAGCCAGCTTCAAGTCAAGGACCTGCTGGTTTTTGCACTTCCGCATTGGCCCCATACTTCACCATTCAGAGGTTGCAGCTTGGTATTACCTTCCTTTAAAAGACTCTCTACTTATTGCCTAACGGCATCACCTTTAAAAGTTAAAAGCACCAGTCTCTCAAATGGTCCCAATGGGAAATATTCAACAGCTAAATAAAGTAATTTTGAAATAATTATTGCCATCGTGAGGTCTTGAATTGTCTGATTATCTTGGTGACCCATATGGACATACTATGTATTATCTTTTTAATGGTCCTGTCCGTTCTTTAATCATCGAACAAAGCACGTACTGTGAATCTTTTAATATAAATAATAAAACGACCGGGTTATGTGCAGTTGATTGCTTTTGTCTCTGGCACCTGCCTGGTTGTTGTGTATCAGGCATTAAAAATAGCCGTACTACAAGTATTAAATCTCCTTGCTGATAGTCTAGTTTGCTTTTGTAGGATTCAGTAGACATTTTACTCTGGTCCATAACCAGCTAAAAAACGTAATTACAGTATAGCTTTAATCATAGGCTTTGCTTCAGATTATCTAGGTCAGTCACAGCAACCTTCTGCAGGTGTTTGACCATTTATCTGCTGAAAAACATTCATCGTAGTCATGACAGGACTGATGATGACCTCTTGATTAACACATCATGTCCAACGTGTCATAGTGTTGACGTGCACAGCTGGCTGACGCTGTGGGACATTTCTCCTGCTGCCCTTGCCTCCCAAAGCTCTGCACACTCAGGAAAAGAACTGCATCTGCCACATCAACTGTTTTTGATGACAGTGTCAGAGGTAGTTTGACCAGCTAAGCAGCATCCCGGGAATGTGATCCTGCGCCTGGCTGCTCAGCCTTTGGCCAATATTGGTAACCTTAAACTCAAATGAGTGAGCAGAGCGCTGGATTATGTTTATCTTCATGGGGATGTAATGGAGAGGCGAGGGAGAGGCGAGGGAGAGAGGGCATGGAGAGTTTAGGTAGAAGCAGGAACAACGTGGGTAGACTTAAAATGATGTGCAGGTACAGCAGAACCCTGTAGGTCACATATTATTGGAAAAAGTAGCAGCACAGCAGCAAATATCTCATATTTTACCTCCTCAGTGACACACGTCAGTACTTTATAGACCATAAAATCAATGTTTCATCTGATAGACTGTTTTCAAATTCTGGCCAAGGACTCATGCTGAATTACAGAGAAACTTGTAAGAGTTTAAGCATGTGTTAGACATGTAGAGTGTTCTGTCTGATGTAGTAATCATCTTTAATAATACAAAACATGGTAGACAAGTCTGATATCCAGAGATGTTCCATAGATATCACCATCTCTGGAGAAGTCAACCAAAACCCTGCTTACATTGGAAAGTAATTCAATGTGTAGGCACTAAGTTGTCTTTCTTTGATTATAACTGTCAGCATCTGAGCTTGAAATAATATTGACCAAGACTTCAGGTAATACTGTGTGAAAAAGGTTGGTATAGGCTTATATATAAGGCAAAGTAGTAGGCAACAGCCCAAAAAGGCGTATTCCTTGTCTATTGTCATTCGTTAGCCTTTTTTCCTTTTAGTTTGTTTTGCAAATAAACAGAAGAAAACTATAAGTAGCCTACATTAAAGTAAAATTTTGACATTTCGGGAGAGACTTCTATTTGATTTCTTTGAGAGTGGGTTGAAAATATTAATAGAACATATTGTCTTTGTCCAGTGATTACAAAGCTTAGCAAAAACATGGAAATGGAAACTAAAGAAAACAGCTAGCTTGGCATTGGCTAACAAAATTTGCTGAACAGCAGTAACTATAAACATATAAAACACCTAAAAGTGACTGTTTCCTGGCTGGGAGAAGTTGGGGAGACTTTTTTTTTTTAAGTTAGGCTACTGCCTTTTAGCCATGCCAGGTTAGTATGATAAGCTAAGCTAGCAAAGCAGCAGCCGCAACCCCAAGATTGGTTGACCCATGTAAAAGACAAATCGATATTGAACTTTGAGTAGTGGTCAAGTCGTGGCAGAAACATGAATTGACATATACTCACAAAACATGGTTGCAAGCATGTTGTATTGTTTTGATTGGTTAACAGGACGGGGATCTTTCAAAAACAGGAGATATTCATGTTTTATGTTTTTTTTATAGGACTTGGGACACTGAGCTTGAAAACAGGACAGACAAGCAGGCAGTCGGCTGTATGAAGTGATTTCAGTCTTCTCGATTAACTCGTCACTAGAATGTGTAAAAAAAACAATTTCCCCAAACGTCTTTGGTTGTTGGACCACACTCCCTCGGTCCTGTCTTGGAGAGAGTTCTGGTTAAAATCCAGTTGTTAAGAGCTGTTCAAATAACACAAATCCATTGGGTTTGCTCTTCACATCACAGCTAACAGGAGGAGCCCATTTTTGCCCAAAAAACACCTCTGACCACATTACAGTTCTTTGAAGGTATGGAACAAGATTATGTGTGTTGTGGATTTACTCTTTTAACTGAAAATACAAATAAGTATTTGATTACATTAAAACAAAGAACAATAACTGTGTACTCCGAGAGCCAATGGTGTGTTTTCAGGTATTTTCATACCATGAGAGTTACAGATTTTACATAAGACAACTGAGCTGATATGCCACATTCACTTACCTCTGAGTTAATGAAGGAACTGAGAGTGAAATGGAGCTCATTTTAAGCTAAATTTAACCTCATTTTCGCAGAGGCCACTTGGGAGCCTCTCAGTGACCCCCAGCAATCCATGGGGCATATAGTTTTAGCATCACTGGCTTATGGCATTAACTCAATTAAGCAATCTCCTCCCTCTTAAATTTCATCCAACTTAATCTTTATTGTTTTTTAGACTGACTCATTCACTGACATTGGCTTCCTTCCAGAAGCATTTTAATATGACAAATAAAATGTGATTGATCATCAGCACAGCAATAAACATCTGTTCCACTTGTATGATTCATTTGCAGTGAGCTGATCAGAATGTCTGCGTGTGTGTGTGTGTGTGTGTGTGGGCTGCTAACAAACAGAAAAAAATTCCCTAAAGAGAAGAAAATAATGAAACCAAGTGAGCAGAAATAAATGATTAGTGCAGGATCTGATCTCCCCTTTAACTCTTCCTCACTCCCTCCCCTCCCTCCCCTCTCTCTCTCTCTCTCCTCTCTCTCTCATTTCCATTCAGTCTGTAGAAGCAGCAGCAGCAGCAGCAGGAGGAGGAAGGAGAGGAGATACATCCCCATAAAAAAAAAAAAAAAAAACTGCCCGAGCAAACATGGTCGTTGTGCGGTTCGTCGCGTGCCTGTGCCTGCTCGTGGGCTTCACGCTCCAGGTGGACCTCGTCAAAAGTGGGAAAGAGGAATCAGGAAAAGCTGGGAACTTTATGGAAGATGAGCAATGGCTGTCAACCGTCTCCCAGTACGGCCGGAAGATCAAACACTGGAATCGCTTCAGAGACGTGAGTGTTCAACGTAATGAAACGAGCGCGTGCTGTTTCTCAGGTGCTTCGCGCGCAGTTCACTACCACTCTGAAGTGCACGCGAATGCAAAAATAGCAGTTTGTGTGGAAAATATACTTCAACTATTTTTCAATTCATTCAAATTCTTGTATATCAAGAAATTATTGATTATTTGTTTTTACATGGCGCTTTATTTTTTTATTTGTATTTAGTGAAATAGCAACCAAACACACTACAAAATTATGAATTTGAACATTTAAATCTACAATTTATTCTTATATTAATGAGAGTGAATGAATTACAATTAGGCTACAGGAGAATCTACAGCCAAAGCCATTTTCCAAGCTTCTTGTAGGAAACTGATTTTCGAAGCAATGTTTCTATTTAGCCTACTAATCAATACAACTGATCTTACCATATTGCACATAAGGGCTCACAGTTAGGAAGCTTCCAGAGCTTTCATTTCCGTAAAAGCCACACAGCCAGAAACAAGTTGTGTGTCCTAAATCATAAATATGAAGTATAAGGGGGGAAAGATCTTGTACCCCTGTGGCTATATGGCCGGTAAAGAGACACCAGTGTGAGCTCTGTTTGGCCACTGTTCACTAGATATGCACACAAAATTAATAAAAATAATTATAAATCTTGTACAGATTTACTGAGATTGCTATTAGAGCTATTACATAATCCTCATTCATTCACAGAATCAGCTCCTCCTTGATCATCAACCTTATTGTCAATGGATATTTAAAGATATATGTTTGGACTTTTTGCCTTTATTGGATAAGATAGTGAGTGGATATAGGAAACCAGGGAGAGAGCGAGTGGGGAATGACATGCGGGTAAGGAGCCAGAGGCCAGACTTGAACCCGGGGTTGTCTGCCCGGTGGACTATAGCCTCAACACATTGGGCGTGACCTAACCACTTGACCATCTGCGCCCTATGTCTCTATATCTATAGCAGATAATATTAGTATTTATACACTTCTAGCGGCTCACCAAAAGGGGATATGCAGACAATGGGGAGGCCAGGTTTCACTCATTGGTGTTGGAGTGTTGCCTTACTGATACTAAAAGGACTGACCACCATATATGTCATGAACCATGATGTTAAAGATCAAAGTCAGGTAGCGTCAGCTCTCATAAGGCCTCATCTTGTAGAACTGAATGTTCGTTTGATCTTGTTGCGGAGACATATCACCTCAGACAGAGTTGTTATCAATGTCGACCAGACGGCTGTTAATTCGGGCTATGCTTTGTGGTATGTAGTGTCCATCTGCACAGGAGCCCCGAAGGTTCAGAAAGCTGGTAATTGAATGCAAATGTCTTCTGTCATGCAAAATTATATATTATCTTTGCTGTTTTTTTTTTACCTAACCTCTCTGATGGAATCAGTTCTGGACAGATAAAGATGAAAGAGGCCTCTCTGTGTAGCTTTAGGACGCATGTCTTTAGCATGGACAGCACCTGCTCTGTGCTGAGAAGTCTTTTAAAGTTAGAATGCAACATCAATGCATTTCAATTGATCTGCATCATGTTTGTAATTCAAAAAATGCAAAACAAGTGGTAAAAATCGTTACCTCATGCAAATCCACCCCTTCCCCTTCCAAATAAAGACTATTGCATTATTAACAATGAGATGAAAAAGTGGCAGTGATTGGACCGACCAACAGCTTAACCTTTGATGGATTAAATTATATATTTTGATACTTAACAAATAACATTATTAATAACATCGGGCTTCAAGTAATAAAGTATTCGGTCATCACATTTACCAAGCTCAAATTTAAACCTTAAAATGAGGCTATTTATTTTTCCAGTATAGCCTATTAAACATCTGAACCCAAATGATATTTAATTATTCATTTTATATCAAATGATTTCACCAATATGTGTCTTTACTCCTTAATGCCAAAGTGAAAAAAAACAACTGTTGACCAGCTTCATAAAAGTTTAATTAATGCGCTGTGATTTAAAATGATAAAAGGATAAATGATGAAAGAGTCTCATCATTTATCTTGGTACACTCGTTCTTGTCAATAGAAGAACATGGAAACTATCTTGCATCTTTAGGCTAGTTAAATAGATGAAAGTAGCATTCAGCTTAACCCTAACAAGAAACAACTGGAAACAGCTAGCTGTACCCTTGAAAATGATCAAATCAAACACTGAAAAAAAGTTGTGGTCACAGTTTTATGCTGTATCCTACATTTCTTGTTGCAAAGCGGACTAGTTGCGGCCTAGCTAGCTTTACTGCTATGATCTGTGTTAATCATCTCATTTAATTGTTGACACGAAAGCTAAAATATATTTAAAAAAAAGGTTGAATAAAGATGCTAGAGCTAGCAGACAGTTAGCTAACCACAGAGTCTATAAAGGAGAGAAGGCGTTGTTGCCACTAAGCTAACGACCTTTGCGCTGTATTCTAGCTAGATGCTATCTTTACACACATTTTGCTTTGATCATCACTCTTGACAAAATAGCTAATTTAGAGAAATGTTCAACTCTCAAAGATGAAATGTGTGTTTTAGTTTGTAATTTAGAACTGTTTTACATTTTTTGTTTTGGGCCTTTTAGCTTTGGTTAAAAAGAAAAGGCTTACATTGTTCGTCATGGTCATCAAGCATGGAAACGATTTGGTGGTATGGCCCTTGTTCATTTCTATTTTTTCATGTGGATCTAATGAAAGCAATGTTAAACGACATCAAGGAGAAGTGTGATAGTATTGGGAGACAGACAGCTGGTTCTGCTCATATAGGATTATTCTTTGCTGTATATACAACATCTGAAATGTGAAAGGTTGGTATTTGTTTACGAGATGTCAAAGGAAACAGGTGGCTGGAAATCAAAAAGCTAGAATATTCAAACTGCATCTAAATAAAAACAGGTTGGAAATCAGTATGTGGGCTATAGAAAAAAACTGTGAAGAGTTTGATTGATCTGACTGGGGTTTCAATCAGACTCATGTCGCCTACATATGATTATCTGGTATGAAGACATAATGAAGGAAACGTTGACAGTAGAACAATAACGCAATAGCTGTAGAGGCTAAATGTGTCCAGATAATCCACAGCAGGTTAAAGCGTTAGTGTTATACAAACTCTGCTATGACACCTATAGTGAAGTTGTAATCATGGCAAGGAAAATGTTGAGACGTCAAAACTCCCGATACAGCTTCCCCCTGCTTTCACGTTAGCTTTAAATCCGCCCACACTGTGGACTAACAGGTTACTTAATACAGAGGTTATGCGCATAGAATTAGCTGGCTCTTCCTGAATTAATCATCGAAATCTTCAGCTAAGCCTACTTGATGTAATTTTTCACCACTTTGCATTGTGGTGTGTTCAGGTGGATGTACTCGACGAGAGCTCAGGCCACCGTTCATGTGAACAATACTGTGCTGTTCATTCACAGCCATCCCTCTGAGCAGGGCAAAGAGGGAACTCATTAAGGAGCCGCACAGCCTTTCTGCCAACCCCAGAGGTCCGTTTAAATTTTGCACCTGCTCTCCTGCCAGTTTCATCTTTTATGAGGGGAAATTGCTGTATTTGTTTCTCAGCTAAATGGCTACACTGCTCCTTTAGTTGTTCAGATTAGCCCTGATATAGGCAAAAAATATGAGGGCTCATTAGCTCTTCAAATTAATTTCATATAGGACAATGATAAATGCATTAATTAAAGTACTATGTACTATCACAAATATTCACCAGAAGTTCATATCTGAAACTGCCCAAATACACTTGACAAGATTACAATGGAATAAAACGTTTTTTTTAAAGTTGAAATCCTGCAGAAGCTGGAATCAGAGAATGGACACATTTCTTACATTACAAGATTGGATAATCAGCTATTGAAAGATTTGACTTTTAATTTTCCTTTTTTTTGACAAATGGAGCAGCTTACATCAGCAATAGAGACGTATAAGCACTCTAGCATTTACAGTCTACAGGGACAGTAACAAGCTTGAGTGAACCAATTGAGCTCTAATGAGCACCCTGGCCCTGATGACACATCCAGTGATAGATCAGCTTCATTATGTATCCATGCTGCTGTGGACAGGATGATGGTGATAGCCTGGTCACTGATCCTACATTAATACAACTCCTCTGTGAGAGCTCTCAGATAAATTCAAGACCAGGGTTCACTCTATTTTTCTGCTGAACAGGATGTTTGTGCATCTTTAGTGACACTGAGCTCCTTTACTGAGCTCAAAGACATGCTGCCAGCTGTGTGCTTTTCTGCTCCTGTCATCAACCTCAGCCATTTACAGTATTAGCCTCCCACAGGATTTATGCTGTAGCGCTAACAACCAGTGTAATTACGAATATGAAAATGTGCAAAAAATTAGAGCAAGAGGATGATGTGCAATTGTAGAAAATATGATAATGAGGCCTATTTCCAATTAAAAGCAAAAAGACAGAGCGGGGGTTGAAAATTAAGACGAGAGAAACCGTAATGAGCTAATTGTTTTCTGTATTTCTCTTCTATCAAATCAACCATCAGTGGCAGCCTCTTCGTTGCACACTAATGAGTCAAAAATGGCTGAAGTTGTGGAATAGGAGCGCTTTCTTGTCCTCCTTTTCGTTACCATGCATGCCACTTGCTGGAGGTTAATTTTGAGGGGAAATTTGCTGCAAGTGCTTGGACTGCTCAGATACGATTCAAAGTGGAAACAGAGAAGAAAGGAGATCCTTTTGGCTTCCTAACACAAGCGTGGGTGACTCCTAATTGAGCGGAGAGGCTGTTTTGTGTTGTTGGTCCTGTGGAGAAGCTCTTCATGCAATTCATGCCGCTGCAAAAAAAGGGCAGAAGAGAAGCTCAACAGCTTCCTTTAACACTGGGTCAAGCTTTTTGTGAACAAAGTGTGTTCCACAGCTTGTCAAAAGATACAACATCCTTGCTCTCTCTACGGCTGAACCCTACTTGTTGTGTTAGGACGGTATATGTTTAATGTGTTTTATGATGGAGAATGGCTTCACCTTCTACATTAACACTCCCA